CTGCCTCCCAGAGTTGGGTCAAATTCATGTTGGGAGCTTCGGTGACACTGTCCAGCCATCTCTTCCTTTGTCGTCCCCTTCTCTTCTTGCCTCCACATTTTCCCAACATCAGGGTCTTTTCCAGGGAGTCTTCTCTTCGCATGAGATGGCCAAAGTATTGGAGCCTCAGCTTCAGGATCTGTCCTTCCAGTGAGCACTTAGGGTTGATTTCCTTCAAAATGGAAAGGTTAGTTCTCTTTGCAGTCCAGGGGACTCTCAAGAGTCTGCTCCAGCACCACAGTTCAAAAGCATCAATTCTTTGGCAGTCAGCCTTCTTTATGGTCCAGCTCTCACTTCCGTACATCGCTACAGGAAAAACCATAGCTTTGATTATGCGGACCTTTGTCAGCAAAGTAGGTCTCTGCTTTTGAAGACGCTGTCTAGGTTTGTCATCGCTTTCCTCCCAAGAAGCAGGCGTCTTTTAATTTCGTGGCTACTGTCACCATCTGCAGTGATCATGGAGCCCAAGAAAGTAAAATTTGTCACTGCCTAGCTATCTAGAATATATAAGAATTAAATATGGTAGTGTAAATGAAAATAGAACAGTGGGTTCTCCATTGTCTCTTTCAATGCCATCTCTCACAGGGGTGTGACCTCAGATAACACCACCCATAGCTCTATTTTGGTGTGAATTTATCATCTACACAGGCTACAGAATGGGATAACTATGAGAGCTCTGAATTGCACCAAAAAACCCTGTAGCTCTAGACCTGTGTCAAAAAGGAATGAATTAGCTCTGAAAAGGGGCAGGATAGATAACGCTAAGTCAAAACATTTCTGGAAACCATAATTTGATTGAAATCAAACAGCAATGAAAGCAGTCCAAATAGTGAACTATATGACCATCTGGACATACTCTCTGTCTCCTGAGTCAACCTTAGACATGGGGATGAATTTGGAAAAGTTTTGATATTCGTGAAATATCACTGATTTGTGGGATAGTCATCACTACATATTTGTTAGGCCTGGAGATCCCGATAAATTATGAAGAGATGAATATTTACCCATTTTTAATCGTCCTTTTGTGCAGGCGGGCGTGGGAAGGGAAACGAGTTTTCCTTCCCACTGCTTGCTTTTCTATGTCCTGCCGATCAGCTGATGGTTGGGACGTTGACAAGCAGGCTGGCTGCAGGAAGGGAAACCCCAGTTTCTGTTCCTGCAGCCAGCCTGCTTTTCAATGTCCCAATCATCTGGTGGTTGAGACATTGATGAACATTCACTATTTGTCACTAAAATTTGGTGCTTCATCAATTCATCAACTTTGATTAATTACAAATTGTGATGAATCACCATTTTTCCCAAATTGTACCCATCTCTAGTCAGGATACTAAGCAAACATCTTTTAGCTAACCCACTACCAGGCATTAAAAAAAACAAGAAGAAGGTTAAATCAATATTTGAGGATAGAACAGTGGTAGTCCTGCCTCCTCTGTCATCACTTTGTTCCTGAAAAGGAAAACTCTTCTACTTGCAGAGAATCTCAGTGGGAGTCAGAAGTTACATTTTCCATTTGCTGATTTCAGAATGATAATAAATATGCTGTAATGAGTATAATGGAGTGTTCTCTAAGACAGGATGATTGTGAAGTCTCAGAAATATGTATCTATAAAACCTTCCATCTAAAGAGGAAGAATCAGATTAATACAAAGTCAGAATACCTGAATATACGATTCTATCAAATTAGAGCTATTAACAGGAGAAGTCAAGGTGAAACAAAATAAAATTAAATGCAGGCACAAACACATAAACTCGAGGAAAAGTATAAATGTTACAGATCACATTATACATATAATTATGGCAGTACATGGAAGTGGAGGACTAACACTTGCTTTTGTGGAAAAGCAGTGATCTTACTTTTTTTTTCTTTTTTTGATTTCTGAACATCTTACATGGGCTTTCTACTATGCATGCCAAAGCTTTAAAATTTACTCATGCATTTTCTGTGTATTTGGAAAACTGACAATAGGGTTTATTCTCTATCAGAAATAAAGACATTAGTGAGGAAGTAACTAAGCCTGTTCCTGGTCCAGCTTTACCTAATGATTTGTGTTCCTGAAGGGCTTATGGAAATATGCTTCCACGTGCACAGTGATGCATATCTTGAATGTATGAGAAAACAGAAAAGACAGAAAGCTATAGCAATGGCCAGAATACTGTTCAGCTCCAGCAGAACGTCCAGTAACACAAGATCTCTTTACATGTCAAGCATTGCTGTTAAGCAAGTGGATACCCCATATGGGAAGACCTGTCCCAGTTCACTAGCTAGGGGTTGCGAAACAGAACACAGAGTGAATCTTAGTAATAAGAACATGAAAGTTCTTTGTTTTCAAAACCGGAGAGTCACTGACATACACACATGATATATGTATATGGTAAATCTTACTGAATAAAAAACAGGATACTCTTTTATAGTTCCAAGTGGAAAGTTCCAAAGTTACAACTGAATATGTGCAAAAGTGCAGAAATAAAACAATTACTGCTTTTCTTTGTTAGACTGTATAGGCTATGTGATCAGCAAATGTTTATCTATTACAATACCTCTGTTTGACCTGCCTAGTGAATACACATTTTCTGGATCACTCTCATGCCCAAATATTCATCTCCATATTCTACATTCTCTCTTTTCCCCACCTTCACATTCTGTCTACACAGAATCTTTCTTTTTAGCCTAAATCCTCATTACAAACACTGACTTAATGTTTACACCAGGGCGTCTTGAACATCTCCTTGTGCAAACTTCATAAAAGTCAGTCATGGGCATAAGCTCATCTATTCAGCAATACAGTTGATCAAACAGAACCTGACCTGTACCTTTTAAAGGATCAGAAAAATTGGCAAGAACACACCTGCCTGGAAGTAGATTTTCTGTTTGTTCAGGCAGGGCAAGGCAGAGGTTTGTAGGACTGAGAGAAACACTAAAATAGACACCTGAAAAATGGGACAGGGGTTCCACACTTTCTATATATGGAACAGGGGGCTTCAACATGTCACTTGAAAGCTTATAGCAGGCTGAAATTAACCTGCTCATAAGCATTTGAGAAAGGATGTTCACCTTGTAATGTCTTTGGTGCTGGTGTGATCAATGTAAGATTTTATGAAGTGGACTGGGAAGTGAATGGCACCATTCATTTTGTGAAAAATACCGTAGTTAGTATGGATAAGCATTCAAGTGAATATGAGCTAGACATAGCTAGATAGCTCAGAGCTGTTTTCCAGAGCAGGGCATTGGTAGCTGGGGACTGAAAATGGGGTTCTTGGATTTTTTTTCCCCATTGAGACATGTTCTCTTAGGCTGTCTATTTCTCTAATTTGAAAAATCATTGATTCCATCATATCTAAGTACTGTGTGCATTTTTACTAAGTGGAGTTGAATCACTAGCAAACAGTGATGCATTGAAATTAGGGTTCAGAAGTCAGAGTGTCAGCAATTATGATATCATTTGCCTCTGAGAGCATGGTGGTATTATCAAAATACAGTATTTTGGAATATGCGGCAGAGTTATTGAAATTGATTTAAAGCTACATGGCGGTCACATGGTATTTGAATCTCTGCTTATGTTTCATTGTGATAACTTTTAATCTGTTCCTTTTTAAGGTGTTGCATCCATGTTGGAAACTACACTCGCAATTTAAATCATGTTTATTGAAACTCATGCACTTCAAAAAAAAGTTTTGAATGCCACCCACAGCGTGATTGTGACTGACATTTAGACAAGCAATAACAGTTTTGGAAAAATGTATGCCAGCTGAGGCATTCACATATGGCAAATGGCTTAAAATTAAGTTGATTCAACATCTGAGTTAAAAAAGAGAGTGATTCTCACTCAGAAGAGTAAAATAATTCACTTCTGCTCAAATAAACATGATTCCCTGTCAAAACAATCCACACTTCTACGTGCATCATGTACTCATCTTTTAAAAAATTTATTTAAATAAAAAAATCTAATTCAAACCTGTTTTTTTTTAAAAAAAACAAAACACTAATGTAAACACTTTCTAAGAAAAACCAATCTTCACAGAAATACCGGTAGTTTATTTTTTGTGAGCTATCCTTCCTGTAAAGCAAAATTATCTCAGTGATTTTTAGTGCTGAGTGTTTTAAGATTGATCTATTTAGCATAAAGAAACATTCCTTATAGACAGGGAAACTACTAAAATAAGTTTGTAATTATGGATCACTGTTTATGCATTGATTATGTGCCATCAAGTCAATGGTTTATGATGACCCTTTCCATGATTCTCCAGGTAGAGAATACACAGAAGTGGGTTACCATTCCCTTCTTCTGGGGGCATCTTGAGACTGTGCAGCTTATCCAAAGTCAGAAGGCTGGCTCTTCTCCTTCTCTACACAGGGGGCAATCAACCTTCTGATCTTTCACAGACTTGACAATCCAACTCATCAAACTGCCTAAATTTTTTAAAAAACTAAACAGGGGCATGGATTTGTGGATTTTCATACAACCACTATACTCGCAGTTTATTCAAAGCCATAAAGGCTGGCTCTTCTCCTTCTCCACACAGGGGGTAGTCAACCTTCTGATCTTTCACAGACTGACAATCCAACTCACCGAGCTTTCCATAACTGCCTAAATTTTTTAAAAAATTAAATAGGGGCATGAATTTGTGGATTTTCATACAACCACTATACTTCTGCCCAACAAAACTTGAATCCTTCTTAGAGACTGTTGGGCCATGAGTTCTACAGGTACACCTCCTAGCCCCTTCACCATATAGACATTATGCAAGAGTAATTAAGTGTGGCCCATGGGCTACATATATCCCCTCAGCCCCGTAACATCCCACATACCCCCTCCAAATAAAAACAAATATCTAAAAGTGAGAGAATGTTTTCCTTTTATTGTATCCCCTATAGTTCTGCCCCTTTAATTCCCAAACCAGCCCCTTAAACTCTTTTTTTTAAAGCCACAAGAATATGTTAGAGGGCTTCTTCAGGAAAAAAATAAGACAAATGTTTTTAGAGGCATTGGGGTGGGCTTGCGTGTCCCCTGGACCTCTGGAAGAGCCCAGCCTTACCTCAATAAAAAGCAAAATAAGGCATAATTTGTGACACCATTATAAGAGTTCTTGCCACCACTGTAGTTTCAGATGTCTTCCATGCAGAGACATCATCAACAAGTAATATGCTGGGAGTAGCTCTCAATGCACTGCATTCCTCCCTTTTCCTGAAGCTTCCAACTGCCAGGGTAAGAGAAAATCATATTTTGCATCAACATTAATTTGTCCAGGCAGAAAAACAATTCAAGCACAGCAGAATTGTAGGATCTGGCTCAAAACCTTTTCCTAAAGCTTACTGGCTAAAATGCTAAAACTTTTTCAACTTTATTTACTTTGTAAATCCAGTAGTACTGGTTTCCCTCTTGTTATTTTTTACAGCTGGTGATCAGCATGCCCATTTTTGTTTGCTGAACAAAGATTGAGGACAATTTGGGTGTAAAGTTCTGCAGCTGTTAATTCTCTTAATTCAACATCAGAAAGGTTAGTAGAGGAGGGTTAATAGTCAATTTAACCTTTACCAACCTGTCCATGTGTCTCAGTAACTATTCACTAACTCTTAATTCTTAACGCTTTTCTACAAAAACTTCCCATCTCTGTTATCATGGTTGGGTGTTTGAGTAAAATAGATGGGTCTCTTTGAACAGTCAGGTATATCATGATTACTGGTGTAAGTCTTCAGTTTGGGAGTAAATCTAATATGTGGTCTTGTGCTGTGAGAAATCCCCTCTCTGTGTCATGGAAGCAAATCATGTTTCATTATTCAACGCTCCTGCACTGAGATGAAGATTTGACTTACTTCTTGGGGCACTGAAGGGGCTCACATGCTCCTGGTATGCTGTCAGTCTTATTGCATATACATAATCCTTAATCTATGACACTGCATTTGTTCATTTTAATTTCCCCAGCAATCTCTCCTCTGAAACAGAACTTGTAAAGGCAACTTCTTTCTTTCCTCTTCCATCGATACTGAAACCTAAACTCCTTACAGTACAAACCAACGTAACTAAACCTGTTTGGGGGTGACTCGAATGCTTACGAAAGGGAGTAAGTGATATTTTTGCCTCGGGTGTAGAGTCATAACCTTTTACATAGTGATCAAAGAAAGAGCTGAGCTCCATGGGCGTGATCTGTGTATCACAGCAGACTAACTTTGTTGCTGTCAGCTGACTTGCCACTGTTAAGGCTCTGTGTGAGTCTACTCAATGGGAATCAGTCGTGAACAAAGTGAATCTAGTAAAAGATGGGAAAGAAATCACTATGTCTTTTGATTGCTTCTCTTTTGATTGCCTATTATCTATACAGCCCCATTCCAGAGAATATTGAGGACCCCTGGACACTCATGTTTCTCAGCGCTGTCTTTAGAACTGTAGGACATGTGGTAAGTATTTCCTAGGGGTTTGTTGGTTTCCCCCCCCCCCAGGTATGTGTGATTGCTTGAGTTCTGAAGAAGGGAACTTATTGATATTAGACAGTTAAGTTAATGAGAGAGAGATTGCAGGAGTTTGTGTACAATTTGATCTAAATAGTACTGTAGTTGAAACCATGCAACATGCTATTGAATGATTGCAGACGGGGAAATAGAACAATGCAAAATCTCTCTCTCTCTCTCTCTCTCTCTCTCTCTCTCTCTCTCTCTCTGTGTGTGCATGCATACATATTTATATATTCAAATTAATACTGATTGAGGAAAAGCTGCCTTTTGTTAGAATGCATAGCTTTGCAAGGTACTGCAGTCTGCTTTCAATGCGAATTGTAGAGCTGCCTTAGAAACGCGAGCATCCTACGGCTGAGGCAGAAAAATCCCAAACACAGGTTGGTAATGAGTATACTGTAGTTACTGTGATTCACATTTCATGTATATTCTTTAGACTGCATGAGTGTTCCTAATAAATAAGCAATGCTAATTCTAGAAGTAATCAGTCAAGTGTAAAATCCTTTCAACTTTCCTCGGTACTGATGTAATTTGTAATAGAAATGTGGTGTGTGAAGTGGCAAAAATAACCCAAACCCGATGCTGTTAACGATCTCTTTCTGAAATTATGATGACTGCAGAAATCGAAAATGGTTTCAAATCCTTTTGTTTAATGTGCCAGTTTATTGGGTTGCAGTTGTTCACCTGCCTGGTTTTTAACTGAGAATATGTGCAAGTTGTTGGATATTTTGCTTCCGAGCCTCGCCTTGTTCACATCTATGAAAAGAAGACCTTGATACCTGTACTCAGTCATCCACAAAATGATCAGAAGCATAGAAATCATAAACTGCAAAGTGCTTCGTTGCCTGCATTTCTGTGCAGTTTGCCTGCTGATTTCCAGCCAATGAACTGAGCATATCTAAGCTTTATGTTTTGCATGCTGCTGTTATGAGAATAGCTTTTTGGAATATTTGCTGAGGTGTGCAGAAAAGCCACTCTGAAGTTCTGTGTGCGGCGTGTTTTGGCGTCAGCTTTCATGTGACTGCCTGGGTGCTTGTGATATTTCAGGAGTTAGGAAAATATGCCCTTAGGATTAGAGAGAAGAAAACAAAGAACGTAGTAAGGCGTGGCGTAGCAGAGCAAGGAAGAAAAGTACAGAGTGGGGGTGGGGAAATAAATATACAGTTGAGTAGAAAGATGTAGGGCAAAGAGAAGAAAGGAGAAGATGTATAACTCGAATGTGGAGAGTAGGTAGGATTGCCAAATTCCTTGTGGAGTTTGAGTTCCTGTGTTTGAAATGGCAACAGTAGAACTCTGGTTTGATATGGAATTGGATGATGCTACCTATTCGCCATGCCCCTTTTATACAGAACTACTAGACAGCTCAGTGGTTTTGGTATCTGGCTGCAGAGCCAAAGATTAGGAGTTTGATTACACACTGTGTCTACTTGACAGGGGCTGGACTTAAGTTTGATTACACACTGTGTCTATTGACAGGGGCTGGACTTGATGACCCATAGTGCCCTTTCCAGTTCTACAGTTCTAAGATGATGATAAGTATTACATATACTACTACTTCTTTCTTTTTCTTATTCAGGTTTCCCATCAATCATACTTGTAGTGGTAGAAGCAGCAATGTCACAATTTTCCTTGCTAGGGCACCAGAACCGTTTCTGGTCAAATCCATGGCAATCCTTTGGTCCTAAATTGCTATTCTTTTAGGAAAACTTTGACACTGTCAGTTTTTCCTGTCATTCTGCTGCAATAGAAGGAACTTTGTTATCTTTTAGACCTTCACTGTTGAATTAGGGATCCATCCATGTTTATACAAGTGGCTCCGTGATAGAGCTTTAATCACAGATCTGCATTGGGATGTTTTTTTTATTCTAAAGCATGAGAAAGTGGAAGGATTCTGAAGACCGTGCTGTACTTAAGGTATGTTACTTTTGGGGTGTACTGGGGCAGAAGCACATTTCTTTTACATATAAATAATTAGCCATGTCAAATATGGGAGTTCATAAGTGTGTTGGGGTGGGGTGTTGCAAATGTGCTTTCATGGATCTGAAAAAGAAAGATCTTTCCAGCTATGGATCCTCTCTGGGTAATCAATGTGGGAAAGTCACAGTTCTAGCTCAGGTGGAGAAACTCAAGCGGTAGATAAGCCTCTCTTCTTCAGACTCACACTGTTCAGGTGATGAAATTGATGAGGTAGACAGTGGGGTACCACAGTCTCCTCCTCGCTTACACATGGTTAGTGCTCCTTCCTGAGTCTGCTGATACCTGCATCATTTTGTTCTGAACAAGATGAGGGAATCCCCAAACTCTGAAAAAGCAGATGCACATACAGAGAAAATCTTCCACAGGCATGGGTAACTTTCATCTCTCTTGGACTTTAAACAACCCCGCCCCTCCTGAATGACTTTGCAACCTTTTTTTTTTTTAGCCACAACCATAAACACAATGCGAAAGGAATATAGGCTGAATCAGGATTGTATAAGTTGCATAATGGATCTTTTAAGGTGGTGTGTGAAGAACTGTTTCCAGTCCATGGCTTCTTCCCAGGGGACTATATGGCTCCCATTAGAAATTACCACCCTACATCCTTGACATTTCATTTATTTATTTATTTTGCAAATCCTAAATTGCTCTTTTTAAATCCAGTCACTTAACTCTTTCTTATAAAGAGTATATAAAAGCTTTAAATAGGGTAGTGGTGGGATTACATTTAAAATGCAAGTCACACCCCTTACTTGTTTTAGGCCTTAAAATATTCTGGTGGTATGATTGACAAATTCCAAGGTGAACATTTCCCTTCCCATGCCTACCCCAAAAATAATGGGTGATGTGAAGCAGTAAAATGACAGCTGAACATACATTGGACATTGCCTGTCTCTTGGAGGGAGATTGGAATGATGTACACTGGAGGAGGGCTAGAAACCAGAGTGCTAGAAATTGGACCTGGAGTCCTATGCATTGCAATGTTTTGATGTTGATTGCACATGTTAAGCATCATCATCATGTACCACCACCACCAAAACAAATGTGACCTCTGAATGATCAGAGGGGTGCAAAATCTGCTTCCTTCATTGCTAGCAGTCACCCTATCAAATATAGCCTTGCCTTCTTTTGTCTTGCTCCTGTACTTTTAACCGTGGCCTTTAAAAAACCCACATAAATCAAGCTTTTCTCCCTTGCTTTAAATGCCTGGTTGCTTTTAAATCACACAAAGAAGGTTGGAAAGAAAGGTATACTCTCCAAGCAAACATTGAGCTCTAACCCTAGCCCCAGTCATAAATCTTATGCTTTGTATATCAATTATGAAAACCTGCTTTTCAAGTATTGTGTAGGTGAGACAAGAAAGGTGATGAATTAATAAATGAGTGAGGCAAAGGGAGCAGTTAGATTCCGCCCAGGTGATAAGCACACTTGTTATATTCAGCTGCTTGTGGTTTACAGGTACTCCTTTGTGGAAGTCCAGGGCTCACTCACATTCCTTGCCTTCAAACTGCCAATGAATCTTTTGGTAGGCAAGTACAAGCCTTCACCTGGTGTTTGGTATTAGAATCTGAACGACAAGAAGTTGCCCAGGGTTAAAAATGCACGCTCTGATGAATGCTGAGCAGCCCTTCTTGCCAAGCCTACAAAGGATCCTTTAAATTGTGAGGGCGGTCACCATCCTGAAGAGAACAGGGGACCTTTCACATAGTACTTTTTTTTTGCAGCCATAGAATAATAGAATAATGGAGTTTGAAGGGGCCTATAAAATACTACTTACACTCAGGTAAAATGGGAAGCAACTTTATGAAGTGTATGTAGACCAATATCCCATAATGAGCTTTTGATCTTTGGCAAGCTGAGCTGAAAACAACTGGGCATCATGCTTCACCAATATTGATGTGTTCAGAAACTGAATCCCATATTTCATATTCCCCAGTTCCATATTCATATTCCTCAGTTTCTTCACAACACACATCCTATTTACTCTGTAGTTCCTTATGAGAACTCGTATAAGACATAATTGGCTTCTGGATGACCAGTGTAGGTCAAGCCCTGTGAGGTCGAACTCTGTTTTCCTATCAGGAGTAATGTTAAAATAAGGGTCTGTTTCCTGGAAGTGCACCTTGCCCCTCCCAAACTCCTTTTTTCTTTGACCTCCACTCATTTGTTTGCTCACTCTGCACTGTCATTTCCCATCCAATCTCCACTCTCTTGTGCACTCTTATATGTACACAATATATGGCTATCGCAGTTGCTACTCTGAATGCCCCAGGCATAAAAGCATAAAAGATGTTGTTGGCAATAGATGTGCAACTGTCCATTTACTTGTATAAAAGGGAATTAGGGAAACGAGTTAGTTAGCCTAGGGGAAAATGCTTTACTCACCTGCTGTGCTGTGATGCCTAGAAGGAGCATAGTCGGACCCTAAGCAGAGACTGTTGTATCTATTTGCTGTCTTATGATATGTCCCAGGAGGTTGCACTCTGTGCATGTCCCAGAACCACACTATCTCTGTACTAAGGGGTAATTATTAGATAGAATAGATGAGAACACATTATATGATGTGTTCTCTTGAATATCTTTAAGTATGTCTTTGCATTTGCTCCTGCATTTTGATAAACCTTTCCTTGTAACCATTTGGATCTTCTGCCCTTTTAAATTGTTTTTCTTTTCTTTTTCTTTAATAAACAACAAAAGACCTTTCAAGCACCTGTCTAGATTTTTGGTTGACAGGGTTTGTGGTGGTAAAACCAGTCCTCACCTCAACCAGTTACTGGGATTTTCAGTGTTTGCATGGGCGTGGTGGCAGCTACCTGCCAGGTTGATGTGCTAGCTTTAAGTGCCTAACCTTGGGGATTCCTTTCAAAAATTCTGGTTTAACCATGACATGTCTTCTAAGCCTGGTCAAATGCATCCCAGAATCAAGGATTACCCTGCAGATGATTTCTCCAGGTTGTGAATTGCAAAAT